TTCACCATGTTGGCCAGGATGGTCTGGATCTCATGACCTCCTGATCTGCCTGCCTCAGCCTCCCGAAGTGCTGGGATTATAGGCGTGAGCCACTGCACTAGGCCTCACATGTAATTTCTAAAACTGTAAACCCAAAACCCTTTCACGTGTAATATCTAGAGTTGTAAGCCAATATAAAGGCAGAGCATCTCTTTGTTAGGTGAGCTTGGCTGTTAGACAACTATGTCACCTTGCTCCCGGCCGAATAAATCACCTCTTCTTTCCTAGTTTGGTGTCAGAGACTTCTGCTTCTCTTGGACGCTTCTGCTTCATCACGAGTCATTTTCCAAATATTTTTAGTTATTTTTGTTTATTTTTCCAAATGACTTTTAGTGTCTTCAAAATTATTATCATGTATTTTGAATGGAACACAATTAACTAGAGCTTCATTTGAAATCTTCACCTTACTTGTTCTTCCCATACAAAAATATAAGATCTAGTCATATAATTTGTTTTATCTCTCTTCTCAGTAAATTTTTCTTATTTTTCACAAAGCATTTGCTCATCTCTTTAAAAATATTTTAAGATAAAATATATCTAACTTGAAAATTGCCATTTTAGCTGTATTTAATTGCAGAGTTTTCTGGCGTTAAGTACATCACATCAGTGTGCAAACATCCCCATTCTTCAATTACAGAATTTTTTGCCGCTCAGACTGAAACTTTGTACCCATTAAACATTAACTACCCATTTCCCTATTTCCTAAGCCCTGGTAACCACCATTCTACTCTAAGTCTCTGTGAATGTGGCTACTGAAGGTAGCTCGTATAAGTTGGATTACAAGTATTTGTCCTTTTCTTGTCTGATTTATTTTACTTTTGCATAATTTCCTCAAGGTTCATTCATATCGTGGCATGTGTCATAATTTTCTTTCTTTTTAAGGTGGAAGAATATTTCCTTGTATGGCTATATCAGACTTTCTTTTTCCATTTACCTGTCAGAGGATATCTGAGTTGCTTCTACATTTGGCTGTAGTGAATAACATTGTTATGGAACATTATTTTACAAAGTACCTTTCTCTTTAAAAACATTGCTGTCCATTTTCTTGCCTCTAGAAGCGAGATTTTGTTCTTCACACATTCCAATTACTTTGTACTAGCTTCTAGGAAAACTGTTGATGTTTGGGTTTTTGCCAGGCATTCAGCCATGTTGCCAAATGCCTGTATTGATTTTCATAACATTTAACTTGATTCTTCTGAGCTTTCTAGACACATGAAGAAAGCTTTTACAAATAAGACTAATCTTGTTTTTTCCTTTCCCGTGTTTTTAGCTAACTCAGTAGTACACCTCTTGGCATTTGCAGGAGGTCATGTTTTATGTGTCTTTTTATTCCCAGGACTCAGAGCGACACAAGGCATCTAAGAGCCAGTGAAGAGGCACTTGCTGAGTAACAATTTGGGCTCCACATGGGGGCATGTGAAATGCTGCCCGGTGTCACTCATTCTATCCCCTTTGCTGTGTGCAGATCTTGCTAGCCAATAATTATGTAACATGATGCATGGTTCAATGTCACTTTTCAAATGCACTTTTTCATTTATTTCTTAAATGACCATGTGCAATAATGGTTATAATTCTTCCCATTGGATACACGAGTTAAATGAGTAGCCTAGAGATTACTGCATCCCTTGCTCTCTCAGTGGGTCTCCCTCCCCCAGTTTTCCCTTCACCAGTGAGACCTTATTCTCTCAGCTGCTGGGAGTGTGGTCACTGAGGGTTCACAGCTGAGTCCTTCTGCAGGCATTGATCTGAGTTGGAGGAACGTCCTTTGTCCAAGTTCATGCCCTTCCTGGAATTGCCTATTTTGAATAATAGGTCTATAGGGGGGTACAAAGTGTTGACTCTTTTGCCCGCTACCACTCTGAGGCCATCCCCATTGCAGAGCTCTCCATGGGCCTGGCTGTGGCCTCTAATGAGCTGCACCACCCAACATCCCTGCCTCCCCAGCACGTGCGTCAGGCAGCCGCTTGCCCATGAATCCCATCTGAATCTGTTTCCAGTCATGCTGACCTAGAGCTGGTGGATTTAAGACCCACACGGCAAATATCCTGCCTTTTCAACTGCAGTGAGTCTCAGGTCTGTGAACGTTTGGAACATTTTTGGTTAGAGATTGGCTATCTCCCTTCAACAGACGATTCAGAGCTTCTCACACCTGAGACCTGCTGAAGAAAACCAGTGCTTCATCTGGAAAGTTACCTGTTCTCAAAAACCTCTTGCTCAGCTGGATCTCTTTTCCCCTTCTCATCCTTAGTGAAACACAAACCAAAGTGTCCATCCGTGTTGGACTTGCTGAAATATTTTCACTCACATAATTTTCTTTGATCCTCCTGATGAGGAAGGCTGAGGAGGTACCAGAAACCCCTTGTACTCTTAAGTAAATAAGTGGGAGGTAGCCTGGGGATAAGGTATCAGGCCATGTAATTTTCAGCTAAATCATGTTCTTGTCACACAGTAAGCTTCATTTGCCACCCTGGCTCTGGGACTGACACTTAGTGATGTGTCTGCTCCATCGCGCCTAGGAGCATCCTGGCTGCAGGTAGTCGGGCTCCTCAGAAACAGTGGCCACCTTGCCCATGATGACACTGGTCATTTACCAAAGGCCGTGGGGTGGTGTTCACAGAGTTAGTGCAGCGTCCTCAGCGGGGGCCCAGGTGGTTTCCTTCCATCTTCTCCATCGTTCCTTGGGCTCTTGTTCTTGAGCACACTGCTCATGGGTGAAAGGCGGACACCACAGCCCAAGGCATCCTGTCCCACACTACAGCCTGTGAGGTGAGGAGCAGGAGCAGGAGGAGGTCACGGGGCATGAGAGGAGGCTGGGGAGAGAGACAGTGAGAGAGAGAGAGAGAGACAGAGAGAGAGAGAACTCTCTTCAGAGGCTTTTCTCTGTTTATCCAGCAGATACTCCCTTAGTAAACTGCCGAGTGATTGGCAGTTGTTGGCTGGACCTGAATTGTATTTCCCCAGGGGTGAGGAAGGCTGGGAAGTTCATTGCCTGAAACTTTTAGTCTTTGCCCTCAGGGGCAGGCAGGAGGTGGGCTGGTCAGGTTTCCAGAACAAAGTCCCTTAATATGCAAGTTCATCGAGAGCTTGTAGAAACTCCATCGTTCTCTGCAGCTTATGAATGTGTTCATGTAGGAGTGTGCACACACACACACCATTTCTAGAATTTTCACCAGATTCCTAATGAGATCAGTGGCTGCACACCATTTCAATGTCTAAGTATGGGTGCTGACATGCGGATGCAATGCTCTGGGCTTGTGCCAAAGTTAAACGCATACCAACCTCTTCATGGTGGTTTCTTACTTTCCATGTAACTGAGCAGCAGGCTACCTCCTCCTTACATTCAATGGGAGTAGAATACAGGAGAATGAAAGAGATGGAGCACTCTAACGCCAGTGGGAGTCTCCCTGCGAATTGCAATCACTGTGTCCACAGATGGTGAACTCTTTGCTAGTAAATGCTCCTTAGGGAATGTGAGCGAACATTCCTTCTCTTTTCCCCAGGAGCTCACAGTTTAGCTGAGAGAGGATCTACCATTCAGTGTCATGAAAAAAAAAAGGAAAAATGTGTTGAATGCCAAACGGCTGTTGCCACTCAGAGAGCAGGGGGAAACCCCTTATGCTGAAAATCAACTCCGGATTCACTTGAAGTTAACGTGCTGCTGAGCACATGCAGGCATATCAACCGTACCAATAGACGGTCAGCATTTGTTAGCTTTTAAAATGCAGACATAGGGAGGAGACAATGAAAAACCACCTGGCTGAAAAACCACTGTGGACGTGGAAGGAAATGGAAGCAGATGCTCCCCACCCTCCCTGCCAGACCCCCTCCTCCTGGCTTCCTAGGCGCAGCGCATGGGTGTTGGTCTGAGGGCTGTTTCAGCCCTGCCCTCGTCATTTCCCCCTCACTGTTCATGGCAGCCACGCTTGGTCAATGCAGCTCTGAATGGGGAAGGTTTTTCAGAGCCCTGGGCCAGAGGCACCTGCCTTGAGGGCTGCACCCCCTCTTTTTGAACTAAAATAGCAAACAGAAGGGCCACGTGGGTCGGGGCCATGTGTCTTAGGACTGTAGCCTCCTGCGTGAGGTAGAGATATCTACTATTCCATGAATGATGCTGACATGAAGATGTCTTTTATTAATTGAAACATCCCCCTTGGAAAAAAACAGACCACTGCATGCCAGTCCCATTTGCGTTTTAACTTCTCTATCCCTAATATTAAGTTTGACGTGAGGACTTTTTAAAACTTCAAGTCCAGAGAATGGGTCGGTGGGTGTGAATTGCCAAAACCTTCCTAGGGCACGCTCGCCTATCCTGGAGCACACCCTCCCAGGACGGATGACAGCCGGCGCTGCTTTCTCTGTGTGATCTTGCCCATGTCCGATCTGGTTGGCATTTCTCCCCATCAGTCTACACACACACACACACACACACACACACACACACACACTCTTTTGGACTTTGTTTCCATGTAAGGGCCCAGTCTCCTGAGGAAAGAAGCACACATCCATTGCTATGTATTTAGTGTCTAGGGGACTGGAGGAGAGAAGCTGAGTCCCTGGAGTCTGCTCAGCTCTGCAGGCACAGATGGAATCCACAGCCTGGCCAGCTCCTCCAAGGCCTGGCCCCTGCCTGTGGACACAGCCAGCCCCTCCTCCTGGTGTCACCAGGAGCTCAGACCAAAGCAGCAGCCCAGCTCTTCCGGGGCAGCAGCCTGGGCGCCCGTCTCTCCCTGACCCCTCACCAGGGGCTGCTGCGGTTGAAGGCCTGGGTTCTCAGCCCCTGGCTGCTCTGCCTGTTCGGAGGCTTAGGTCTCCTAAAGTGGCAGCAGCTCCTCAGATGGCCTTGCTGTGGCCGCGTCAGCTCCCAGATGCTCCTCTAATCTGCACAGCAGCAGAACAAGGAGGCTTTGTGGAAACCCCGCCTGTGTGCACATGCCCAGACAGCCAAGAACTCAGAGGGAGGCGATGCTACTGTTTTATTGCAGGAGGTGGGGGGGTGGGGTGTGCGGGGCACACAGGGGCTGTGGGAAGCAAGAAGGAAGGGGGGAGGGTAGCGCCCCCTGCCGAGCAACAAAGGCCTCCTGTCACCTTCTCTGTATCCTGCTGCAGGAGCATGGGGGAGACCTTCCCCAGGGCGGGGGTCACCAGTCCAGGGGTGGGAGACTACAGAGGTGGTCGGTGCGGCTGGCCTGGCACAGACCCCTAGACTTTTCGGCACTTGTAGCTCACCATGGAAATTTTATCCTCCCAAGGAACTTCGTAGATCTGGAAAGAGCAGAACTCCTCCTGTGAAAAGAGAGAGAGAATCCGTGTGGGTTACATTTAAAGCAAAAGATGCCCAGGAACAGGACATCAGAATGGGGGTGAGAATGGATGGAGATGAGACACTGGGCCCCCCCACCGACCCACCCCTGCCAAGTTCCTGGGCACCAAGCCCAGCTGGACAATGACTGTTTGATTGCCCCTCCCAAGGCTCCAAGTCTCCGGGTGGCACTGGGCCCTCACCCAGCCTACAGGATTCCTGCCCCAGCACAGTTCTGTGAGGAGCAGCCTGTGCAAGGCCTCGGGAGACCCAAGGGTGCAGGCAGGGGGAGGCGGCTCACTGCCCCCAGCTCCTTCCACCTCCAGCACCCAGGCCAGCACCAAGAGGGGATGGAGGGAAGAACCCAGGGAACGGGAAGTTGCAACTCAAATTTCCCAAGGTGACGAGGAGATGACAAGGCAGTGTTGTGGCTCTCCCCTGAGCAGAGACCTGAGGAGAAATCCCAGGTCCTTGGAGAGGCTGGTGTTGGGTGAGGTGGGGCAGGTCCAGGGTTTCTCAGCTCAGAGGCATTTAATTCCCTCTAATAGGCGCAGTTTGGCTGTGGCTACTGGCAGGGGCCTGCGGCTGGGATTAGACAGAGCCCCGTCTCTCTTCCCAGATCCCAGCACTGCACCTGCCTCTTCCTAGAACCCAGCCCGGCACCTGCCTCCTCTAGCCCAGCAGGCAACACCCCAAAGCACACAGGGTGGAGCTCCCACTACCCCCATTCCCAAGCTAAAGCCTGCTTAGCAAATCAGATTCATCACCCCGCCCTACACCACTCCGACTGCACACACATAAGCATCTACATAAGCTCACACCAACCGTCACCCACAAGAATCTATATGTGAACCCATAGACTCCACACATCCACACACATGTGCACACACACTCCTGTGCACCTTCCTCATGTGTGTACACACACACACCTTTCCACATGCATACTCACATGTGCATACCACCCCACACATACATTCACTCGCACACAAAACTCCGTATGCACAAATGCATTTTTTCACTTCACAATACACATCTGCACGTGTGTGCCAAACACACATGCATCTTCCTATGCACATGAACACATCCTTGCATGCGTGGCTCTGCAGAGATCTGCACACTTGCACACGTACCCTCCTGAATGTGTGCAGGAGTACAGGCACACACTCACACTCACACACGCATACATGCACACACAGCTCTGCCGTGCTTGATGCCCCTGACCCACATCAGGCACATACCTCTTTCAGATCTGGCTGGTCATTGAAGGGACAGTTGTCCAAGTTGGGCTGGGACTTGGTGCATGTGGTTCTAGCGAACTTCACGTTGAAGAAATAGTTCACCCCACCCACGATCTACAAGTAAGGAAGAGCAGGAGGCAGGGACAGCACGCTGTCAGTTTCATGCACACACAGGCACTTCACTGTGACTGAGTCACTGGGCTTGCCTGGGGCTTCATGCTGCCCACACTGTCACCCAAAAGGCACATGAGCCACTGGCAGGGGTACCGTGTCCCAGGTCTCCCTGGTAACTTCTTTTCTCTGAGTAACTCAAACAAAGTGTGTCATGCATCCCAGTAGGAGGAGAAGCAGGAGCAGGGCAGATGAAGCCAGGACCTAAAACCCCCTTCACTGGGCTCAGGAACGGAAGGCACAGCTCTGGGCAGCCAGCCAGGGTGGGACAAAGCAACAGTCCTTGTGCCAGGTGTGCAGGGCGGGGTCTAAGCTCCAAGAGAATGCTCCTTCCCACAGCAAAGGATTAACTGAATTCTGCTACCTGTGCTCAGGGGGCAGGGACACTGCAGCCATCCCAGGAAGGTTGTCACCTGAATGCCAGGAGCTAACTTCCAGCTCATTCAGCCCAGAGAGCACCTCATTCCCTCTATTTACCCAGATTTATTTACAGCTCATTTACAGCAGGAAATAAGAGGCTTCACATACTTGGATGTTTTAGGCCAACAAGAAAGAGACTGCCTCCCTAGTGCCCACATTCCAGGTGTGACTTTGGTGGCAGTTTGATTTCTAAAGTGAGTCACACACCTGCATGTCTCACAGTTGTGACTTCAGAAGAAAACTGAATCCTTTCTCTGCACAGTGCCACCCCCAGACGTGACCTGTCACAACTGTGGCAAAGCATGCAATGAATGTGGAAAGTAAAAAGTCCTCATCAGAGTTTCCTTTCTTGTTAAAGAATAAAGAATAAATGTTAGAAATAGTTTATTTTAAAGACTAACTTCCTTCAAAGCCTCCGTGTGTGTGTGTGTGTGTGCTAATAACTCTTTGTTAAGCCCTATCCTATGTAGCTGTTAGACAAGAAACATAAATACACTCTATGTCCTTGTACTTTAACCAGCGTATTTGCTCTGAACATGCCCAGGCCGGTCCCAGCTCGCAGCCCATGCCTCCTCCTTGTTTAGAAATTCTATTACCTTTCTAAGTCCCTGCACAAGCGACTTCCTCTTTTCCTTTGCTCTACATTGCTTTTACCTATTTAAGAAAGTTGTAAGTTGTCAGCCAATCAAGTTTAGCTTAGACTGTGAAGTCCAGCTCCCACCAGCAAAGATAAGACACAGTGGTAAAGACCCAGTGTGTAAAAGATGAATATTCCTGCCTTTCCTTTGTTCAGTGTGCTCTTGTGGCAAGATTACTGACGAGTAGCACCCTTTCTGCAGAAAGTAAAATTGCCTTACTGATAAAACATTTTGTCTAAATGTGAATTTTTCCTTGTAGCACCTAAGAACAAACATTTTATCTCTAGCAATGAGGGACTCTGGGACTGGGGTGCTAGGCCTTGCCCTGTGGAACCACGTGCAAGTCCAGTGATCCCTCACTGCTCCTCTAACACAGGCTCCAGGGCCCAACAATCTACATCATTCTGTGCTTCACTGCAAGTGAGTGTCACACTGGAGCGGGAGGCACAGGTCACACACCACAGCACCAGGGAGTGCTCCTCATGTGCAGGGAGAGAGCTGCAGGAGGAGAAACATGCTGGTCCGGACTCCCATGACTTTCCAGGAGAAGGTGGAGGAGCTCTAAAGGCCGGCAGTCCACACAGCCCTGTGATCGCTGTGTTACTGTTTGCTGCTCTGCCACTGGACATAGGACATGCTGGGCCCTGTAGCCCTGCTGAAGCTCCCTCCTGACCTGAGCCCTCCTCTCCTCTGCTGCTTTTTCCTGGAGTGCAGCACCTGCAAGTCAGCCCCCAAGGGCCATCCATCCCCCATCTTCCAAGACCAATTTTATCTCGTGTCTCCAGTCACAAAAAGAAAATTTGGCATTCCTTAGAGACTTAACAAGATGCAGTAAAGTCAAGCACTTCCAAGAGCTGACCCATCAGTCCGCCCTTGTTCAGGTGACTGCTGTCCTCATCTGGCTGAGGTCTAATTCTGCATCAGCTGACAAAGGCAGAGTCAGGTGTGCTATCCCTGAGCAGGAATTCAGCGACCCTGGGCTATAAGGGGTGGTCAGCCAGCCTGAGGGTGAAGGCCACCAGTCCTAAGGGGCGGTGCCCAGGGTTTCACTTGAAGAGAGAAGCAGGACTCTGCAAGACAGGGACCAGGCTCCCATATGGCCCCTGTGGAGAGGACTCAGGGAGGAAGATGAGCCTCATGGCCTGGATCTCATCCTGAGCAGCGCCAAGCCCACCCGGAGTTGGTACAGTCCCATCTGCACTTGCTGGACCCTGGCAAATGTCAACATCATGGCACAGACACAGCAGCTGCTACAGGTTAAAGGAGGCCGAGGGGACAGAACAGGGCTGAACTCATGCCCTCATGTCCTGGGAGAGACCTAGGGCATGAAGGCCGGCAGTGGACAGTCAGGGAAAGCTGAATGAGTCTAAGCTTTAGATAATGTTGATTTGGGGGGAATGCTCTCGGGGGTGGGACTTAGGACCCCTGGGGTGGGGGCAGCACCCACCTGCTTTTGGGCAGCCATCACCTGCCGGGGGCGGCTGTAGGACTCCTCCTTACTGTCCTTGTTGTATTCACTAATGGCGAAGTCCAGGGCACGCTGCACACTCTTGTCATTGAGGTCTGCTGCATGGACGCCACCTGATACGGCCGTCCCAGATTGGACTGAGGCAATCCCGGCCAGGGCCATCATCAAGACAGTCAGCAGCAGCAGTGGGGTGTTCAGGGGCCAGGCCATGGTCTGCTGGGACACAGAGCAAGGAGCTGGAGCTCCCTGAGAGCAAAGAAGCATGAGCCTGAGGCAGGAAGCCCAGGCCAGAAGGCAGTTGTGCTTTTATCCTACTTGGGTGCACCAACCCCACCTGCTCCCTGGCCCTGCCCCTGGCTTCTCCCCCTCTTTCTACCCCTCCTCCTCTGTCTGCATGTCCCTTTCCATCCCAACCACTTCCCTCTCTCCCTAAGTTCCCTTTGCTCCTCCCACACCTCCTTCTCCTCCTCCTCCTCACTCCTGTCCTCACTGCAAACTCCCCCCAGCCCTGCCCCTCTTCCCCAGTGCTCAAAAGCTTGGCTCACCCTGGGCTCCAGAGAGGTGACACTGCTCCCCGGGCTGCAAAACCTGATGACTGCCTATTTCCTCAGGAAGGAGAGAAATACAGGGCTCGGCCTCCTAAGGCTTCAGATGTGAGGGGCTTCCAAGAGCACATGGTCACGGTCTGGGAATTCCTGGAGCAGGTAGCCTGTTTCAGAAGCTCCGGGATGACCTTGCCCATGCACTGATCTAGGGAACTTCTTTGCCAAACATACAGTCATTAACTTTTGGGAAAAGGTCATCGGGTTCTCTTGTCATAACTCGTCATTATTCTTCAGCAAACAAGCCTGTCACCAGCTTCCGCTTGCACCAGGCAGTCTGGACAGTGGAGCCATGGACATGATATTGCAGAGCTGCTGCCCAGCAGAGATGGGACAAAAACCCAGGAGCAACTTAAAACTTTCTGGGAGACACAGTTGAAAAGGTTAAAAGGTACAGCTGAAAGTCATTTTAGTATTTCGACGTTAACCTAATATGTCCAAGATACTTTCAACACATAAGAACTATTCTTAAGGAGCTAGTAAACATTCTTTTGTTTCTGTGTAATGTCTTGAAGTTCCCTGTGTATTTTTTACAGTTAGACCAAGTGTCATTTGGACTGGCCCCATTTCAAGTGCCCTGTTGCCACCAGTGGCTGCTGGTGTCTGTGGGACTGCATAGCCCAGCCCCTTAGGTTATGTGGGAGGACAGGAGTGGTCATCGATAATTTAGATTAGGGAATTATAGTAGTTCAGTGAGACAGAGATGGGTGCCACTGGACCCTGGTCAGGGAGGTCTCTGTGAGACTGGACAGGTTGAGAAGCCCCAGGCAGCGGGGAACAGCCAGTGCAAAGCCCTGAGGTGGGGCTGGGCAGGCCTGCTCCAAGAGGAAGCTCCTGCACGGGGTGTAAGCAGGGAAGGGAACGACCTGGAATCTCACCATAACTGTGGGTGAGCCGGGTGGAAGGTGCAGGGAGACCCCCGTGGTGGTGTCAGGAGAGGGATCAGCAGCCGCAGGATGAATGTGGGAGCCCACGGGCCTCTCTTGTTCCTCCTCTCTAGGAGCCATGCTGCCGGCACTGGTCCTCTGTGCACTGCTTGGAAAACTCGTGTAACATTTTAAAAATCACTTTGAATAAGGTAGAATTTATATACAATAAAATGCCTAATTGTATGTGTCTGACCCGAGAGATTTCATAAATGCATACACCCGAGTCACCACTTTGTCCAGACCCGTAACTCCTGCCTTGCCCCACATGCTGTCCTGCTGCCTCTGCAGCCCACCCTCGTGCCCACCCCACCCTAGCAGCCCCCATCCAGCCCTGTAGACTCCTTTGTCACCTGTCCTTTGCTTCCCAGGAATGAGTCCTGCAGTCCGAGCCCCGGGGCGTCTTTGTCCTTTGCTCAGCCTGGCTTTCCAGCAGCCCCCGAGTTGCTTCGTTGCCGGGATTGTGAGTTCTCCTTCTCCCCAGACTGAGGACGTGGCCAGCTGGGTGCCCTGTGGGCGGTCAGAGCCCCGAGCTTGGGAGGCTGCCGGCCTGGGCTGGAATGTGACTCCAGGAGTGGGGAGTGGGGAGGGGCTCTGAGCAGACAGCTGCTCCCCGTGTTCTCTCAACCCCACCCTCCAGGCCTGAAGGTGACCCTGTGGCAGATGCCCTTATGGTGAGGTGGCAGGCTTGACCAGAAACACCCGGAAACCCTGGGCCTTTGCAGGGCACCCAGAGGACTCTCCTGGGAGTGGTGGAGGTGAGGGTTGGCCAGCGTCAGCCCAGACCCGCTGTGATCCTGGGGCTCGGCCATGGCTGGGCTGGATCGGCAGGAACTCAACAGTGGAAACAACATTACTGATGGGTTCATGTTCAGTGTTAGAATTGGGGACCTTGTTACCCAAGGCCCAGTGGTCTTCTTACCCCACTGTGAATCCAGCACCCCTAGAAAAACCATGCACCCCACCAGACACAGCAGGTGTCCCAGGCATGGTGTTTACTGCTGGGAGACGGAGGGAAGATCTTCAAACAGTGATGCACATGATGCCTCCTATGAGACAGGAAAGTGGGGAGGAGATCCCCAGACAGGGAAAGAGAGGACAGCCCCTGGCCAAGTGCTTGTGAGCAGAATGGTCACCTCCCAAGTGTAGGAGTTGGGTCTCCTCTGTGGCTCCCACCTTCCCTGGCCACTGGGGCTGGAGTCTCAGGAGGATGTGTTGTGCAGAGGGTAAGCTGATACACACACAAATCTCTCCTGTGTCTTGTCGTTAGGAAGAAGGTGCAGGTCATCCACATAACACATGTGTGGTGGCGGGTGGAGTGTGGGGTGGGGGCTGGAGTGCTGGCCTGCTTTCCTGTATAGGATGCCACCACCAGTGGTCATCCTCTGCAGGACACTGGAGCGAGCCATGGGGGGGGTCAACGGGCCTGACACAGTGACCACTGTAATCTCAGTGGAACAGACCCCCGTGTAAGACATTCTCAGGAGCCACAAGAGATGCATCCAGTATGGGTGATGGGAAGTGGAAGGTTAGGGTAGATGGACAGCTGCTCCAGCTGCTGGGTGACTTTGGGCAAATGTTTTGCCTTCCCTGTGTGTCATGTATATGGAAAGGTGAGGTGCTTTGTAAGTGGTAGTGTCTGGTGGTTCAAAACCTGCAAGATGTGTTTGATTCTGCAGTGACGCTTAAGCGTGGATGAAATTTACAGTAGCTCAGTGTTATACCATACCTTACAGCGACCCTTGAGACTGAGGCAGGAGGATCTCTTGAGCCCAGGTGTTCCAGACCACACTGTGCAACACAGTGAGATCCCTTCTCAAAAAAAAGAAGAAAAGATGGAGCCATAGTTCCCATAGCCTACAGCCCCAAGGATGGGCCAGCAGGGACCCAGAGAGAAGCAGTAGACCCAGGACCAAGCCTGGGGCCTCCAGCACCCTTATAACCTGGAGGAGTCCAGCTGCCCAGGAGTGATCATGTTTCCCTTCTGCCGGGAGATGAAAGAAAAAGCTGTGTTCTCCCAGGCTGCATGTGTTTCTTGATCCCATGACTGAATTATTAGAGTGAGAAATTAGGTGAGTGACAGAAGTTCTCTGTAATAAATAAACAATAAAGGGGAACACCAAACAACTTATGGTCAATAAATACCTAAGGACATAAACATCACCTGAAGTAAAATTGGTTGAATCAAGTTGGCCAGGAGTTGAGATTTTGCACATCCAGGTTTGGAGCAACTAACAATCAGTGTCCATGATGGGCGTTGAGACTGAGCTGCCACAGGAGTTGGTGGCTTCTTAAAGGCGAAGCCCAGAGCCTCCTTTACGGAGTGCTGGGCGTTCTCTGGGGTCAAGTTTGTCCGTTACACACCTTTCCTCCTTCCCTCTCCCTGCTCCCAACTGTGGGGGATGTGGGATGCCCCCGGCCTACTGTCCGCCATTACCATCAGATTGTAAGCATCTGAGCTCTGATGGGGATGATGCCATGTTATTATGAATCGTGATACTCACCAGGAAGCAGGCCAGAAGCCCCTGCAGGAGAAGGGGGGTGCAGAGCCCAGCATCTGAGGTCTGATAGTTTGGCCCTCTATGGGGGGAAGAGAATCCTTGGGCAGTTTAGGCTCAGGGATCAAGCTGTAAGCAGTTCTTAGGATTTTAGATTACAGTGTTGCTATTTATTTTCTCAAGAAGTCCATTCTTCTGAGCAGAGCAGTGACTGGAGAACCACAGCCAAGTGGAGAGGACAGGGAGAGGTCGGGCTGGGAACTTGGGCTGCTGGCTGGTACATCCACGGACTTCCCCGACTCCCTGGTCACAGCCTGCAGGGGCCTGGCCCAGAAGAAAACAATGGCTCTGAAGGAGAAAGCAATCCCCCTGGCATCTCTGGGTCATCAGAGTTTTTTCCTCATCCCCATCTGGGTCACCGCTGGAACTTCCCTGTCACTGTTTGTGTAACCTTAAATATCATTTCCTTCAGCAGAGTGCAGTGACTGTGGAGAGTGGATCCTGTTCCTGCCTGGGATCCTGTTGAACTCAATCCCTGGGTGCTGGAGCTGGAGCCAGGGGCCATCACGACAGGCCTGCCCCCTCCTGTGGCCCTGCCTACCCTCTCCTCCTGTTACAGAGGAACTGGATGAAGCCACAAGACTCTCTCTAATGAACCTTCTAGGCGCCTCTGAGCCTTCTTCTCCACTAGGCCTCAACCTTGCTCTCCAGCGCCTACCTGCCAGGTCTGCATTGCCCAGTTTTAGAAAAGAATCCTGCTAAATCATTCTAGGGAGAATGCTGCTCTTTTTGGCATCTGATCACCGTTGACGTCTGATCAACTCCTCACCTTTGACGTCTAAGGCCGTGTCCTGCCTTTAGCAAGAATCCTGTTTGGTCAGTTCAGCCAGAAACCCCTGCCTTTGAGGTCTCTGCTTAGTAATTTTTTCCTCACATTTTGCCACACCCTGCTCCTTGGCTATAAATCCCCCCTTGCTCTTTTCCTATTTGGACTTGAGTTCAGTCTACCTTATTGTGAGAGTGTTGACCCTATTGCAATTGCCTTGAGTTATCTCAACCAAGGCCAGCCTTCCAGCAGTGAAGTGCCTCACCCCCCTGTCCATGACATCATCACGGACTTCTTGCAGGCACCACCAGTTCTGCATGTCTGTTGCTACAATCATCATTTTGCCCACAGACCTGTCCCCCATGGAGACCATCTAGTGTAGGTTGGATTCGGAAGGAAAGGGCTGCCCTCCATGTGTCCCATG